AACATTGACAACGCTAACAGTAAACTGCTAATATCGCATTCGTCAATTTACACGTGATCTGATCGGTGCCTTGCAAGAGGCCCCGTTCACACAACTGGATAAGTAAAGATATGATAAAAAAAATATTACGGCTTCTTTTATTGTTGATAAGAACAACGAACAAACATATGAAGAAAACTGATGAACCAAATTTAGAGCAAATTCCATTTTATTTATTCGATAGTGCAACTATGTTTAAGTATTGGAGAGCTTTTTGGAAGGTTTTTATAACCAAACGTAATTTATCCGTATGTCATTTCAGTAAAACGCTTAAATGCCCATTAAGGCTAAATAACGCCCTAGTTTTAGTGCCCTTCACAATTCCTAAAAGATACTAATTGGCCCTATATCTAAGCCGTTTTTTTTTTACATTTTAGCAATAACTTCACTAATATTTATCCTGTGTTTTGTATGAAAGTATAGATATTTAATTTTGCTTACATTTGCTATCTTTATCACGAATGAGTTCATTTTCAGTGTATTCAGTGTTACTTTCCTCAGGTGATAAACACATAAATGTTCTAAATCCATTGTTACAACAGAAGGAAATGACTACATTATTCATTTTTGAGGCATAATGTGACTTTAAATGAAATAGGTACATTTTCCCTATTCCAAATGTACTGAGAAGCGATAATTAGAAAATGATCATAATGAGATTCTGCCGAAAAGAAGTGCCTCGTTGGCAAAAATAATTATTAAATGCTTAAGGTCTTTAAGCATTGTATCTAACAATTAACGTTCTGCATTACCCCGTTTTGAAATACAGTCAATTGCCGAAGATCTTTTTTTAAATTGTCGGGCTCATGATTACGAAGTTATTGATCATAGATAAATTGAGTGATCATAGATAAATTGAGTGATCATAGATAAATTGAGTGATCATAGATAAATTTAGTGATCATAGATAAATTTAGTGATCATAGATAATTGAATCTGTAAGTAGACAAATATATTGAAATAATCATTTCTAGAAATTTTTAATCTGCCTGAACATTATTTGTCGTCTGCTTTCGATCACCCTCGTGAAAATATAACAAATTGACAATGAAATACATGCATGTACAAATCTTACGCTTTTGCTACAGATAAAAGTTTAATAGTGACCACACATTAACTAAAATCAGACATATACTGCTTTTTACTAGTCAGACTTTTAATGAAAAAAAACATTTAATCAACGTGTGTCATTGACACTTAATTAACGACTTAATTAGTAAAATTAATCAATTTTAGAATCTACAGTCAGTACGTAGGTGTGCCTGGAAATCGGCGTGCGCTTTTGTCAATTTTATTTTCGACCGGATGTTGATGTCTGCGCTATAAATGATGAAATGAAGTAACCATCTTTGGCCTTGAACGTGTCCGTGTACGACTGAATCACGACTTAAGGTCGAAAAATGGCACAGCGAGGAAAAGTATTTCTGAATTCTAATTATTCTTGATGTTTAACAACATTTTAAAGCCTCTCCAAAGGGACATGATATTATATTCAACAGCTCAGTTCTTAGTCAATGATTGTATTAAATTATTTAGCAACTCATTCAAACTCCTATATGTACTTCGTGATTTTTTACACCGCGGGAAAAATCAGGAGAACTTTAACGAGCTTTATTTTCCATCAGTTTGCATTAATGCGATGGCCTTTAAGCTTTTTTTCGCGCCATTTAATTTTTAAAAGCTAAAAATAGATTCAATGACATATGTCATTTGATAGTTGCTCGCGAGCTGCTTCTCCACATGAAAAAGCAATTAAATTGTGTTTGTTGCAGTTCATCCAGTTCATAAGAAACTCCAGACGAGAGCTGTAAAATATGGATTTGATACTTGTCTTGATTCTTGATTTGGTAAGGATTTCTTTGCTGGTACCGTCCACCGTCAATCAAACCGAGCCTGCAACATTTTCAATTTGCCGTGTTGGGCTTTCTTTAGGGATCCTGTATTTATCTATTTTTTGTCTTCTTTTTAATTATAAAATGAACTAAAACGCATAATAATTTTACCTTTTCTATACAAAAAAAAATTGCAGACGCGTTATTTATTGACTAATTAATATCTGTTGGAGAAGTTCGGACATAAGATTAAGTGAATTGTAACTTAGGCCCCAACGAGTTGGGATGTGAGGGGAAAAGCGGGTAAAAAACAAGATTTTTATGTTTTCCGAAAGAAGAGTATATTGTGGCCACCTGTCTGTCTGTCTGTCCGTCACTGCTATTACTCTTTTTGATGCTTGTCCGGAAAATAATTCCTCAACAATGCTTGTTCTCGCTTTTTAACAGTTTTGTTTGCATTAAACGTCATATCACAGTATATAAATGGGTACGCTTAAACAATGATATGATGAATTTGTTTGAGAAACCAGTAAGGTATTTCTTTTGAAACATTTTCTCTGTTTCCGCCGGGTCAATGCGTTGTGAAAAACTTGTTTCAGTTTAGAGCATTTATAAGCTGAATTTGCCGTCAGAATGTCCTTGTATTGTTAATCTGGTCAACAGTATTGTTCAAATAGTCTGCTAAATGGACGGCAGTGTGTTGAAGACATTTGAATTTTTCATCCTTTGATTTGATAAAAATGTAAATTAGAATCTGTAGAATGTAACAACTTCCGTAAATTGATCAATTACTTTCAGTGAAAATAGTAATGTATTGAAACAAAAATGTTTATGGTGGTTATTCATATGTTAAGATTATTGTCCATTGAATATTTGGGTCGTTATATATTTTGTTGGTGTGTAAAACAACTACTAGATCAAAATGATGATATCTGAAATACCTTTAAGTGGCGGCATGGCCGAGTGGTTAACGCATCGGACTAATATTTTTTAATCTAATGATCTCTAGCCGCATGGGTTCAAACCGTGTCAGGGGCAAGTGATTGTTTCCTTGATCAAGAAAGTTTACACTCGTTGCTCACTACTTGTTGATTCCAAAGCTTATGTCTTTAAGCTTTAAACTTCCTTTAAAATCATACTGAAATAAATTCTGTATAAACCAACTTTACTGTCGCACCTTTAAGAACGATATGTGTCTGTCAACAACAGGTATTACGTAAGTACTAGGAGTGCAGTAACCAGTAGTGGCAAACGTATGTAATTTTAGTATCAGCAATTTAATATTTTCATAACAAATACACATATTACAGGTTATATATCAAGTTGACCACCCCCCCCTTTGACATATGATATATGTGGTATTATGTGTTTCATTGTTTATATAAGGTAGCTAAAACTCTTAAAGTGACATAATGACATCCTAATTAAATTGTGAGTGTTAAGGTAAAATTAAAGTAATTTAACATTTTGTCACATGTGTATAAACGACACCGTCCATGACCCTCATGAATATCTATAAATATCCGTAATGTTCAATCTATAAAGAAAGTGAAGCAATTTATATGTTTGGCAGGTTTTTTTTATATTTTATCCTAAACATTTGTGTTTATCAATTATTGTTGAATCGCAATAAAATAGCAAATATTTTGAAATATACAACTAATTTATCTCAGCTTGACAATCAAAATAGAATGAGCTAAATATCACTTTAATTAACAAATAAAACATGGCCTTGAGGGCAAAATGCAAGTTTATGGACTCATTGGTCAGACTGAGGAAGGTATATGGCCCGAAGTGCAGCTGAGGGACAAATATCTTCCGAGGTCTGACCATCCAGTCCGTAAACTTGCATTTTGCCCGCAAGGCCATGTTTTATTTGTTATATTATACCGAATCTAAATCTTTTCATCCCTTCTGTTGCTGTCATTTTTACTATAATTTGCTTTCAAATAATAATTTATTTGTTCAGTGTAAGAAATATCTGAAACCCTAGTCGGACTTTTGTTATTAATTTTATTATTTTCAAGTGATACAGCAAAAACAAATGTGCTCTTCTTTTGTAATTCAATTTTCGTTAATCAAATTAAACAGGCAAAAAAACCCGAACTTTAAGAGTTTCACAAACTGTATATAAATGAAATTTATAATAAATTTAAAGACAAATCATGACTTTTGATCAACATGTAATAAATTTATCTGAAACAAAACAAAATTCAGTAAAAAGAATCATTAAATAACAAAATAGAATATTATACCTCATTTGCGTACGCCCTTCTATATTAAATATGACGTCATCCAGTCCATATAAGAATTATGGACCGGCCCCGGTCTGTATGCGGTTTATGGACCGGATGACGTCATATGAAATATAGAAGGGCTTATGCAAATGAAGTATAATTTTGAATTATAAAGGACCCTTTTTCAAGAAATATCATTTACATATAAAAGCCTGTTAATAATTAAAAAAAAGTCTCTTACTTTACAATTCTAAAATGCCAGATTCATAACTGAAAAAGTCTTCTTTCTTAATTAATAAGATGTTAGTTTTATTTCAAATCTATAGTCTTCATGTTTAAACCAAATGTACATTTTTACTTTTTAACTTGAAACTTGTCTAACAATGGCTCTCATGTGAGCGACTTAAGCCATGCTGAACCTTTTGTTTATCTCAGTACAAATGTACTTAGACGAACATATAAAAAACCCAATAAATAAAGTCTGTTCTGTACTTTTATACAGTTCAAATTGAAATTGTTGACATTATTGGGTGTGTGTGCTGTTGTGTTTTTTTTACATCACCTACATACATGCAGTTGTATGGTAAAGGCCTTTTAACGCCATTGACCCTTTCCATTGAATGATTACATTTGGCGAAAAATACTTCATGACTGTGGCGTCTATGTCTAGACTCTAAGTCAGTATCTCAGTACATTATAAATATGCAGAATAGAACACATAACAACCAAAAAAATGGATATTTATTTATTAAGCACACACTTCGAATCCTTGTAATATTGTGATATAATTATTGAAGTACTGTAAATTGTTACTCTATTCACATTGATAATTATTACATAAATTATTTTTTTTAAAATACATATAAATTTATCCGTTTATTATTAGTATAATTATATTCCTGAAAAAAATAACAGTTTACATTTCATTTTTCAGAGCTCAGAGATGGTTTGATTGAATTCTACAAAACGAGACACAGTAAAGTTTTCCTGTCGCCCCTGTTCGAAGAAAATGACACGCCTTTGGCTTCTTTCTACGTAAGACCTGAATTGAACTTAATAATCTCAGCCCCGATGAGAAATGATGAACAAACACCCGTCATTTCATTATTGGAGATGTTTAAAACCGGAAAACAAGCTAACCGAGAAATACATGTTATTGCTGATGCTGGTCTCGGAAAAACTGCATTTTCAAACTATCTGGCGATCACGTGGTGTCAAGCTCATTTTCCAGATGAAGACATAATTCAATCTTTTGAAAAGGATGATATAGACTGTATGCAGGAATTTGATTTCTTATTTCTGGTCTTACTGCGAGATTCCAACAATTTATGTTCTATAGATGACCTCATATTTAAAACAATTGTTTCAAATTTGGGTCTACAAGAAAAGCCTTCCGAGAATTTTCTCCTTAAAATTTTGAAAAATGAGAAATGCCTCATTATACTTGATGGACTGGATGAATGGACCCACCCCGAAAAGGAATGTGACAGATCGCCCCGATCGATCCCCCACAGGAATGATCGAGAAAAGTGTACAGTACTGACCACTACGAGACCATGGAAATTAGGAGAATTGAATCTAAATCCGTGTCAAATAGGAAAAAAGGTAGAAATTACACGATTAAGTAACGACTCGGCGGTCACGCTTATAAGAAGGATTTTACAAAGATTGAAATCTCACCAGAATAAGGACTTATTAGACAGTGACGTCAGGCAGTTCATACAAACAATCAATAGGAGACAAAACGCCCAGCTTGCTTTTGTGCCTCTTCTTTTAATATATACTATTTGTTTATGGTGTGACGGTATTCAAATAGGAGATTCAAAATGTGATCTGTATATAAATATAGTCGAACTTCTTTTATCGAGAACGATTCAGATCCACGTTGAGCTTCAACAATCGTGTGACCTTTCTGAGGGTAACATCCCTAATTGTCTTGCTGAATATAAAAACTGCAGGAAATATTACTCACTCCTAATGTGTTTGGGGAAATTAGCTTATTATACGTTATTCAATAAAACAAGAGAAAACACGTTGGTATTTGATGGATCAGTTGCTAAAAAATATCTCTCAACAGACGAGATGAAATTCACCCTTCACTCAGGAATGTTGTCAGAAAGTACATCTAAAACATTAACAAAAAAGTTTAGTAAAGTGTCATTTTCCCACAAAACAGTTCAGGAATTCTTTGCCGCCATATTTATAAGTTCTGAAAATGAGGCTCAGAAAATTGTTGTAGAAAAATGTAGAAATATTCAAGACATTCTGGACATGTCAAAAATTTGTGAATTTATAAGTGGAATGAATGCTGACCTGATGTGTGCAGTATTAAATGATTTGATGTCTGTAATAAATGAAGACGCGAAAACACGCGACTATAGAACAAGGACAGGTCGCGAGGGCGCCATGTACTATAATCCATTGTATAACATACAGATAATGTTCATGTCGTGTTTACAAGAAATGCCTGAAAGTGAAAATATTCAATTATGTTTACAAGATTTCTTCATTGACGAGAACACCGAGCACAATGAGCTGTTACAACGTTTGTTAAAACAAAATAAAACCAACATAAAATCACTTTATATAAACATCGACCCTTATACTTCCGGCAGTTTACATGAAATTATAGATTTATTCTCTCTCACAGATCTCAGTCATATACAGAAACTTTACTATTATGGTGACAGGAGGAAGGAGGCTGAGATAACCCGGATTTGGTTTCCCAGTTTACAGTCCGTTACTTTGCAGGATGACGAATGGACAAATGATGAAGAAAATCTGAGTGAAAATTTGGCGCGATTACAAAACATAAAATATTTATATATTTACAAGTTCATGTTATCTCACAAAATACTGGAACCATTTTACAATTTTATCTCCCGTCAAAAATCAATAAAAGAGTTAACATTGCATGGGTTAGACTGTAAAGAACATGGCAGCCGTGATTGTCAGAGATTGAACTTGGACTTATCTCAACATTCAACTCTATCAAAGTTACACTTGCAGGCGTTACCTTGGAGGCTAAAATTAAATTTATCAACAGCGTCATTAGTTAATGTTACGTTGTGGAGAATCAATCTAGATGAAAGTTCATTGTTACTGTCACGTGACATGTTGAATATTGAACGTGTGGAGTTGTTGGGTATAGAAATGTCTGCAGAAAGTTTACAGAACTTTATTACCGTGCTGAAAAATCTGCCGCAGTCAGTTACAGTAGAGATGGACGCCATTACACCGGAAACAGAATATGACCGTGTTAGAGAAAATATTCGGAGTTCACAAACTTTTCATGTGATACAAGACGACGACCATGGCTGGCGGGGACGGGTGATTGAGTTCAAAACAATAAAACCAAGTAAAGAATAAACAAGGACAAACATTGTAAAATAAACTGAAGGAATTACTTAAATAATTTTAAATGAAAACAATTTAAAAATGGACACTTAAAAAACAAAATGGCGACTTCGTTTACGTTATACATGTACTGTATAGTTTGGTCATTTAATTTACAAACATTTATTTCTGTTTAAAGGTTTAATTAAGTGACAGTTGTTTATAAATAAATAAATAAAAACATTTTAAGAGGATAAATTATTCAAGGAAGGAAGTTATTTACCGGAACTTAATGGATTTAACTTGGAATTAGGATTTGGAAATATTTCACAGGTAAGACATTTTTTTATTGAATTATTTTTTTATATTATTTCATTTTACATAAGTATTGAAATAGATTATTCAAACTGAACTAGATCTATAATATAAGATTTTCTTTTAATTAAGTAATAAAATTTTATATAATAAATTAATAAATAATTCCACTTTTAATATTTTTCTATAAATTTTTGATTTTTAAAGTAGATTTTATAGTTAAAATAAAACCTTCTATTAACTAAGTCAGTAAAGACATATATATATATATATATATATATATATATATATATATATATATATTATATATATATATATATATATATATATATATATATATATATATATATATATATATATATATATATATATATATATATATATATATATATATATATGAACAGTTGTTAAATAGCTACAACCTCAAATATTTTCAAAATCCATTGACATGTGGCTTTGAAACTTTGTAGACTTGTTTGCCATCATGACAGTAACCTGTAGACAGGAGGAGGTAACTCTTTCAAGCAGTTTGACAGAATAATGCCACCTTTTTTACTTAGAATTTACATTAGAATGGACGTACTACTTCAAATATTTTCAAAGTCCATTGACTTATGGTTTTGAAACTTTGCACACTTGTTCACCATCATGCCCCAACCTGTAGACAGGAGGAGGTAACTTTTTCAAGCATTTCAACAGAATAATGCCCCCTTTTCAACTTAGAATTTACATTAAATTTGCGCACCTCCTCAAATATATTCAAAGTCGGTTGATATATGGCTTTGAAACTTTGCAGACTTGTTTGCCATCATGCCCCCAACCTATAGACAAGAGGAGGTAAATTTTTCAAGCGTTTTGACAGAATAATGCCCCTTTTTCGACTTAGAATTTATGTTACAATTTGCGTATGAACACAAATATTTGCAAAGTTTATTGACATATGGCTTTGAGACTTTGCACACTTATGCACCATCATTCCCCAAATATGTAGACAGGAGGTGGTAACTCTATCAAGCATTATGACAAAATTATGCCCCTTTTTTCGACTTGGAATTTATGTTAAAGTTTGCATATCACCTCAAATATTTTCAAAGTCCATTGACATATGGTTTTTAAACTTTGCAGACTTGTTCACCATCATGCCACAACCTGTAGACAGGAGAAAGTAACTCTTATAAGCATTTTGACAGAATTATGCCCCTTTTTCGACTTAAAATTTACATTAAAGTTTGTATACGACCTCAAATCTATATGTGAAGTCCACTGACATATGGCTTTGAAACAAGTTGAAATTTTATACACATGTTTGAGAGCATAATAGGTCACTCTCCAAGGCATGGATTTGAAAAATGTTTGGCCCTTTTTAAACTTTAAAATAAAATATTATTTTGCATAAATTATCAAGGCTCTTTTACAATCAAGCACTGAGAATAATCGAGCATGCTCACTCAGTCCTAACGATAGCTCTTGTTTCTTAATGGAATGTCTTCATACTTGGACATTACAGCCCTTCTGAGTGCTCTTGTTTATTTATATGTGTTTGCGATGTAAAAGTCAGATTTTTTTCATTGTTTCAAATATGTCCGACTCATATTTACAAAAGGGTATTTTGATACCTATTCACCAGAAAACGTAAAACATTTATTCAAGTAGGCAAGAGTTTTAAATCATGACGTCACATTTCTTAACGGCAGTTATTAAAGAATTCTGCCTCCTGTAATATTATTTATGTTTCATGGAAATCAGTATACCACACACGTACTTGTAAGTAAAATGTTGAACTAGATAAGAATTGTACAATTTCGTCAAAAATTTTCAATTTATACAATATGTGTTATTTCTTGTTTCAGTGGCCTTGGATTAAAATTTCCGATTCTTTGGTGTGCAGAATCTCCCGTGACATTTTATATGGAGCATTGTGTGATGATAGATCAATTTGTAGAGATGTATTTGAAAAACATCCTCTTGTCTTGGTAAGACTTTTCAAATATCTTTTTGATGGACAGCCTAATAAACTGTTTATGTAAATTAAAGGCCCATTATGCCCCGATATGCTTTTATTTTAAATTCTCAATAGCTGTCTATTTCTGGTGTTCCGTTAAAATTTTCCACAAGTTACCCATTAGCCAATGACCTAAATCACCTTTTGCTTCTTGTAATTTTTGGCATTGAGAAGAATTAAACAGATATAGTATTTTGTATGGAAGTCAAAATACTACTTTGTTTACATTTAATTGCTACTTTTTAGACATTTTATTTCACATTCAACACTTCTTCAGGTAAAAAGAATCTAACAAGTTTTTAAACTGTTAGTTAGCAGTAACAAAACATGTTTTCCCTATCTTAAGAGTTTTTTTTCCATTCTGAGGCATAATGTGCCTTTAACATAGTTATGCTCACTTAGAAGAAGTGGGGTACATTGCACTAAGTGATTTATTGCATCACACTTATCAATCGGTTGGTTCTTCTGTCAGTCGGTCGTAGTCAAATCCGTTTCCAGTCAATAACTTAAGAACGCTGCTAACTTGGTATGGAGATTAGTTATGACCTGCAGATGACCCCAATTGTTTTTAGGTCAGAGTTCAAGCTCACATTGAATGTCAAAATCGTTTACTTTTACGATCAATAACTTGACATCCAATGGGTCCCTGGCCCTTAATGTTCACAACTGCTTTGGTTTTGGCCAGTAGATGATTCCTATTGATTTTGGGGTCAAGGGATCAAAGGTCAAGATCATATTTATATTGTATTTCAAAACAGATTCCAACCTGAATAACTTGACAACTAATAGGCCCTTGGCTATAAATTATCCCAGGTGCATTTGTCTGGGCTAGTAGATGATTTCTATACACATGCCAGTATGGGGTCACTAGGTCAAAAGTCAATGTAAAAATGACCTGACACCATGACTTATTGGCTGCCAGTAGGAGACATAGATGCTTTACAAACATATCTTGTATAATAGAATCTTGAAGATAATTTCTGTGAAAATATGCAAAGATAAAGTGAATAATTCCCACAATTCCAGAAGGGATTAGGAAGTATTTGTTGAAGAATTGTAATTCATACAGTCAAAAGCATATCAATGATTCTATCGATATCGTAATAATACTAAATATCAATGACAAATTGATATGTCGAGTAAAATGTATCCATAGTTCACCTTCATACACTTTAACATAGAACGTGTTTTCCCTATGATAAATGTCTGTCACTGCATTAAATCATAATTTGTACTGTATATCAATGCATACTGCATGCATGCTCAGATTTCTGTTGGTCTTTAGCTTGACTGAAAAAATATATCGAAAGCTGTCCTAGTCCTAACCATCCCAAGTTGGGTTCATCTACGTCGGTATACAGATTTTAAACTTAACTCATTGTTCAGTATTAATATCTTTACCAGTTCTTTCTTCCTTATTAATAAGGTATAAACTTCAATTGTATATATATTTATTGTATGGCTTTAACTTTTTAGCTCACCTGTCACAAAGTGACATGGTAAGCTTTAGTGATCGCTTTTCAAACGGCGTCCGTCCATTTGTCGTCCATCCGTCCGGTTCAAATAAATGCCCTAGGGTCAAAATTACCCGCCCCGGGGGTCATTGATTGTCCTTATTTGTATAAAGTAAAAACTTAAAAAATCTACTTTTCAAAAACCCAAATAGCTAGAGCTTAGATATTAAGCTTGAAACATCTTCTAGTGGGTGTCTACCAAGTTTCTTTAAATAAAATCCCTGGGGTAAAAATTGGCCCTTTATGTATCTATTAAAATTTATAAAAGCCCAAAGAGCTAGAGCTAAGATATTTAGCATGAAACATCTTCTAATGGGTGTTTACCATTTTTGTTCAAATAAGGGCCCTTGGGTTAAAATTTGCCCCGCCCCAGGGTCATTGATTTTCCTTATATATTTATAGTAATTACTTTAGAAATCTTCTGATAAAAAAACTGAAGAGATATTGTTTAGATATTAAGCATGAAATTACGTCTAGTGAGTGTCTACCAAGTTTGTTCAAATAAAAGCCCTGGGGTCAATATTGGCTTCTCCCAGTGGGCGGGTTGTGTTTTCTTATATGTATATAGTAAAAACTTAAAAATTCTTCTCTATAAAAATCCAAAAGAGCTATAGCTTAGATATTTATCATGAAACATCTTCTAATGGGTTTTCTTACCAAGTTTGTTCAAATAAAAGCTCCTGGTTTAAAATTGACATTGGCCCAGTGGTCTATATACAGATGAGCGATTTCAGGTCAATTATGGACCTCTTGTTTATTTTTTTAGAAGAATTTACGTCAACTTTAAATTCAAATGCCATATAACCCTATCAAAATAATATGACCATTATATAACCCTAGTGTTATATATAATCAGAAATATCTTCACCTTTTACTTAGAATTTTCTTTATGTCTTTTTTTTTTAATTTTTATCTATATAATGTGAATATTTCTTCAGGGATTTAATTCATATTTAAAAGTATGTTAGTAATCAAAGCATTATCTTGTGAAATTAGAACTCTAGCTATTGTGAAATCCAGAACTATTTTTATGTTATTTTTTATCTATATTTTAAGAATAATCTTTATATGATATGAATAGTATCTACTTTAGACTTGATATTATTGTTCTTTGTCATTATTCACATCATTTATGATCAGGTTAATAACTCAAGCACCTTTATTTTAAGAGTAATTTCTTCTTTGAACTTATATTTATTTTAAACATTTCTTGTTCTTATCATTTTTTTATTAGAGCATAGAAATCTATGTTTAACTTATATTGACATGTTATCGTGCAAATTATGTGGTGCAAAATATTGAGCATATTTATTATTATTATTATTATTATTATTATTATGAGTGTTTTTTTGATAACTTGATACAGAAATATATTTGTATCATATTTGATTTTTTTTTCAGTTTTGTCTTCCCTTACTGGTCGATTTATTTAGTAGAGTGTGTGTCGTCTCCTCTGCAAGCTCTTGTTATTATCACTGCTATAAAATATGTAAATTAACAAAATATATAAAGTTCATCAAGTAGCGACGGTTACCGCCGGTAAAGTTTTAGACATGCCCATTTTAATGTTTATATTCTTTGCTAATTTTATCATTTTTTGCTCGACTTTTTTTGAAAAAAAAAGAAGAGGTATTGCTATAGTCGCGGCGGCGTTGCTTTTGCCGTTCCCGTCTGGATCATAACTTTTTTATTTCTTGATGTATTGTCTTCATACTTGGCCACAACAACCCTTGGGACAAGACCTGTCATTAGACCATACTAACCTTGACCTTTAACCATAAATGAGCTTGACCTTCAAGGTTAAAAGTCCAAATTTTGCTTGTTCATGCTGTTATTGGCTGTAACTTTATATTTTCGAATGGATTGTCTTCAAACTTGACGGTCAAAATTGTCATCGTTGATTTGTTAGACATGATAACAGAGAACAAACTCTATATATGCGAATGTTGAGCTTGTTTTAATGTGTAGTGCAGTTTGTGACTGTATATAAAGCTGTTCTGAAACCATCATTTTTGTGATGGTGGATGAGCAGTGGCTATGCTTTCATGACTGTTCTGCTAGGCGCTGTGCCGTAATTGGACTGGCATATCGATATGGTGGTATGTGTGTAATATATTCTCTCAATTATATATATATATATATATATATATATATATGTATATATTATAATAAGTATATAATAAGTATATTTATATACAAAAATTTATATATAGACAAAACTTACGTGACAAGACTGACCGATTAAAAATTATAAAAATAAGGAACCGTTAAGATTTTGTTCAAACATTTCTTTGTTTGCCTTTAGAGAAAGTAAAAAGTCGAGCGTTGCCCCTGCCCGGCGGTGGGTCTTGTTAAACCTCTCATTGATAATGCAAAAGTATTGATTTTATTTCAATCCTGAATCGGTAATTGATTGACAATAAAGTAACAACAATACATTCATTTCTTTTATGTCACAGAATACATTCAGTCGCAAATCACAAAATTATATCGGATGTGTTTGCAGATCTTACTTAAATTCCAATAATATTTGAGCCGCGTCATGACAAAACCAACATAGTGGGTTTGCAACCAGCATGGATCCAGACCAGTCTGCGCATACGCGCAGTCTGATCAGGATCCATGCTGTTCACTTACAAACTCTATTACATTAGTGGAGAAACTAACAGCGAAATGCATGGATCCTGTCAGTATCCATGCTGGTGGCAAACGCATTACGTTGGTTTAGTCGTGACGCGGCTCTTTTTCTTCTTTTCTTTATTTGAAATATACTTGTTTACTCTCTGGACCGGCTCATTAACTTTAGGCCTCTTGGCGGAAACGTATTTAGCCTGCATGTACAGTAATATTTCAATGTTTTCCATAATACATGTATGGTGAATGGTTCTGTCCAAATTGAATGATTGACAAGTCAATTTAAGTAATTTGGATTGGTTAGCTTGAAAATAGACAAGAAAAAAATCTGTATATTCAAAACACATATAAATATACTGTAATTAGTGTAAGAATAGAAAATTCCTGCTACATGATGTTATAATTGTGACTTCTTGCTTTCCTTTATTTCAGAAAATCAGCTATAATAAATCTACAGGGACAATGAGGACAATCACAACTGTTTGGCTTTTTATCCATTAATCTCCGGATGATTATCAGCGGGTTGTTCTGAACGACAAAGAAGTAAAAGTTCTTAAATAGTAACCAATCTTATAATTTTACACCTGATACCTGGCTGTTCGGGGGACAAATGTCAAATAATTATGTGATTAACAGTCGCAGAAAAAACCCTAAATCATCATTACTTGCCAATACATTGAATAACTTTCTGGTTCCTTGCTTAATGGAAGGAAACAAAATAGAAAACTTTTGCATTACACAGTTATCTTGTATCTGTTTTGTACAATTAGAATTTGAATCTTGATAACAATTACACCAAGACCACTGTTAAATATTTCAGTATTCCTTTGAAAAAATCTTTTATGTAAAAAAGGTCTTATTTAATAATTTAATTTATGAATTAGATATACAGTACATGTATAAATTTGTTTATGCAATTTTAGAATAATATTATATAACAAGAATTGTTAAGTAATTTTTTATTAAAGGCCCATTATGCTTCAGAAATTATGTCAGTTTTATTTAATTTTCGAAAACAGTTTCAAAAAATAAACCCTTTTGCCATATACATAATTTAAAGATAGTGATGCTGATTTTTTTTTGTTTAGGCAATTGGTATAATTAAAGTGAATCAAAAGTAGTATGATAGTCAAAATACTACTTAAAGTGTAATGCCCCCTTCGAAAAAGAGGGGGTATATTGTTTTGCTAATGTCAGTCTGTCTGTTGGTCTGTCCGTCGTTAGACCACATAGTTTCCGCTGAATATCTTGACAACTGTTTATCACAGAGTCTTCATATTTCACATAGTGATTTGCAATAACTAGTTGATGATCCCTATTGATTTTGGGTCACTTGGTCAAAGGTCAAGGTCACAGGAGCCATAAATGTCAAAATGGTTTCCGCTGATTATCTTGAAAAGCATTTATCACAAATTTGTCATATTTTACTTAGTGATTGGCCATAGCTAGTAGATGACCCCTATTTATTTTGGAGTCACTTGGTCAAAGGTCAAGGTCACAGGAGCCATAAATGTCAGAATGGTTTCCGTTGTTTATCTTGAAAAGTATTCATCACCAAGCCTTCATATTTCATTATTGATTGGTCATAACTAGTAAATGACCCCTATTGATTTTAGGGTCACTAGGTCAAAGGGGGGCCTTGAATGGTAGTATGATTTCTGCTTATTTTCTTGATTACTATTTATCACAAAGTCACATAGTGATTGGTAATAACCAACAGGTATTGCTTTTGGGGTCACTAGGTCAAAGGTCAAGGTCACAGAGGCGTTAAATGTCAGAATGGTTTCCGCTTATTATCTTAAAATCTATTTATCACAAATTCTTCATATTTCACATACTGATTGGTCATAACTAGTAAGTGACCCCTATTGATTTTGGGGTCACTAGGTCAAGGTCATAGGGTTCTTGAATGTAAGTATTGTTTCCGCTCATTATCTTGAAAGCCATTTATCACAAAGTCTTCATATTTCTAATATTGATTGGTCATAACAATTAGATGACCCCAATTGGTTTTGTGTCACTAGTTCAAAGGTCAAGGTCACAGGGGCCTTAAATGTCTCATTATCTTGCAAACTATTTATCACAAAGTCTTCATTATTTTTGTTTCCATAATTTAACATTTCCATGTACCCATTTATGGAAAGTTTCTATAACAAAATTATCAATAATATGAGTCAAGGGCTAGAAAAGGGGGCATATATGTCGTTTGACATTTCTTGTTTACAATTTATTACCTTTATTACACATTACTGCAGGTTCAGAGATATTTTCACTTGTTAAACATCTAAAATACTCTTGAACAATTATCAAAACATTATTTAACAAATGCTTGACTTTTCTAGATAATATTTATTTTCTGAGGCATATTGTGCCTTGTTAGTATAGCGCAGTGGTTGTTGCGTATGGGGGTTGCGTTCATTGAACGCTGCATTTCCTTGTTGATCGTGTTTATCATATTTTGTTAATTTGCCTTAAGGGTATTACAAATGTATTGTTTTGTAAAAAGATTTTGAAGTGTGTATGATAATTACAGATTTGTTTTTTTACAGTTTCCTTCTTCTTTGTAATAATTTAGTTTTCTGAACAAACATTCACGTAAATTGTTTTTATTTTTGTGATACACGGAAATTATGTATATGAAGATACATTATAATTCATAATGATTTTGACAGGTTATATTACCCAGTATAACAAGCTTCAAGTATATAACCCGAGTCACAAAATGATGGTTATATAACAAACAACATTTCATGCATGGCCATATAACATGTTATATGTCTTTTTATCCAAATAATAATATTGCTATCTTGCTCCCTTTGCTTTGAAACAATTAATGGTAATATGCATTTGCAGTATATATTTTTAGTTATAAAGCTTCTCAATTTGTAACAGCTGTTTGCACATATAACCTCAGCTGATAGGTGAAGATTATATTGCTTACAACTGTTTAAATATGGCCATATAAACCTATAAGTAATTTGATAATGAATTTATAATACAGCAAAGTTCCTTCATTATAGAAAATAAAAAGTTCATAAATTGACAGAGAGGAATATATAAATGTCATGCTTATCCAATGAAAAGTGACGTTTCCAGCATACAGTATTATTTCATTAAACTGTATATTTGAGTTACCATTTATTATGCCCCCGCCATGTAATGGCCGGGGCATATAGTGTTACCCTGTTCCGTCCTTCCGTCATTCCGTCATCATCAGTTTCCGTTCATAATCTTAGTAACGGTTGCACACATTGAACTCAAATTTGACATATAGATATGTCATCAGAAAATATAGGTCAAGTTCGAATTTGGTCATGGTTCAATGATTTTTGGCAGAGTTATGCCCCTTTTACTTTGAAAATGATATGAAATTTTCAGTTTCCGTTCATTATCTCCCCCAACGTAACAACACATTCAACTCAAATTTGACATATGAATATGTTATGAGAAAATACAGGTCAAGTTCAAATTAGGTCATGGTTCAATGATTTTTGGCAGAGTTATGCCCCTTTTACTTTGAAAATTATATGAAATTTTCAGTTTCTGTTTATTATCTCCCCAACAGTACAACACATTCAACTCAATCATATGGAGATGTTTTTGGAATGCCCAGGCCAAGTTTTAATTTGGTCATTATTCAATGCTTTTTGGCAGAGTAATGCCCCTTTCATTTTGAAAATTATATGAAATTTTCAGTTTCTGTTTATTATCTCCCCAACAGTACAACACATTCAACTCAAATTTGACATATGGATATGTTTTTGGAATGCCCAGGCCAAGTTCGAATTTGGTCATGGTTTAATGATTTTTGGCAGAGTAATGCCCCTAACACTTTGAAAATAATATGAAATTTACAGTTTCTGTTCATTATCTACCCAACAGTGTTACATATTCAACTCAAATTTGACAAATGGATATGTCAAAGGAATGGGCAGGTCAAGTTGGAATTTGGTCATGGTTTGATGATTTTTTGGCAGAGTTATGTCCCTTTCACTTTGAAAATAATATAGATACATCTTAGGAATAAGCAGTTTAAGTTTGAATTTGGTCGTGGGTAAATGATTTTGGTCAAACTTAGCTTTCTTGAATGCTGGAAAAATTTTGAACTTTCAGTTTCAGCACTCATACTTTTGTGGAAATGTATGTAACCATTATTTTGGCTACATATATGAAATATGCTATTTTCAAAAGGTTGAGACTGAATAATTTCAGTGCCTTAATTGAACATTGTATGAAAATGGTTTGTGTTAACATTGAAAAGTTTTAAGGGCTTTGAACTTAAAATGAAAACAATAATTTGTGCAAAATAAATTGGAACTAAATATAATAACATCTGAAATTTTGGCTGCAAGCGGGGGCATCCGTGGCATGATGACACATTTCTAGTTTATTTTTAGCTAGTGTATGTTTAATTTTATTTGTAAATAGTCATTGTTTGTGGAGTGATATCACTTTAAAGCTGAATGTCTCATAGATAAGGAGTACTTTAGAATATTGTACAATTTAGAGATAAATTTGATAACAATATTAGCAGATTTGAGTATATTAATGACAATACATATTGCACTTCTGAACAATAGCAATATCAAATTGCACGATTTTTCTAAATTGTACATGGTATCTATAACGGATAGATATGATACGAATAGCATGCATTTCAAGCAGCTTCCTTTTGATTCTTGATATTTTTCATGAAAATTTTAAAATTGTATTTAAAAGTTAAATATTGTGAAGTGAAAAAAGTAATTGACAAATTGCAAACAGTGCCTATAATCCATGTAAATTACAAAAAAATGTCAAAATATGCTGTAATACCTATTCTTATGTTAGTAACGAAGAAGTATGTTGATGTTACATTCTGTATTTAAATAAGTCATTAATCATACAAAACATGTAAATTATTGATTTAATCCTATATATTTTTACTTTTCTTAAAATCCTAATACAATATTTTCAAATTTAATTTTATTGAAATATTTTAGCATCATCTGGAGACAAGCAGCTTTAAAGAGTTGAATATATGTTTTATTGGAATACGTTTATATAGATATGCTTATTACATAAATTTCTGTGTTAATATCTGTATAGAATGTTAAATAATAAGAGGAAATTTTTTCGGTTGAATGAAATATTTTTAATATATTTTCACACAACATGATGAAATTCCATATATTTCACGAGCCAGAAAGGCGAGTGAAATATATAGAATTTTATCATGTTAAGTGCAAACATATTCTATATTTCACGAAAAAATAACCTTTTTATTTAGTTTTTCCTTCAAGAATAAAAGTTCTTTACGAATACACCTATTTGCCATGCAGTTGCAATTGTACGGAGTGCAGTCATGCATTGATTATCTATAGGTGCATGAAGTGGTTCAAATTCAATACACAATTTATCACAGCCATTAAACCGTCTTGAAAAAAAAAAAACATAGCCAGATAATTTCTGATGATAATTGAATAGCTGAACTCATTGCAAAAGAGAAGCATCTGAAAAGGTAGTCCTAAACATATATATAAGTTTTGATTTCACCCACTTTCATATTCATTTCTCATATTTGTATTTTCACAAAAATGATATGTGTATTTAGCTGATATAGCACAATATGTTACAGGTTGAATTAAATAAATTCTTTTATTTTTCCTTCTACTTGAAATTATTAAAGCGACAGGCCTCCAGATGTTTATATTATTAACCCTTTAAAAAGGCCCCCAATTTTATCTGGAGTGTGATACTTAATGTTTTTGAAATAGTTGTATATTTTAATTTTTTGAAACTGCATTGGTTGATATAATTCATTGAGAAAAAGTGCAGTACACAAAAAGGATAATTTTTTAGTTATTGCCCCTATTGTTTTTAAAGGGTCGAAGTTTATCTTCTTTGTATACCACAAAATTGTATTTGAGATATATACTGGAAACTTCGAAAAAAAAGTTTTGTTCTAAAGATGTCCTTTGTTGTCGTCATTTGTAGTTTGTCATTTTGTTATAATTCATGTTGAATTGTTGTAATGTTTCTCGTTTGCATAATTTTCATCCAGAACTTAATAAATCAAAGCTTTAGGTTTATTATTTTGAAACGATTGAATGATTATGCAGTTGACAAGAATACCAAGTCTCCATTTTATAATAATGAATACTTTTTTTTCTTTTTGTTCAATAACTCAAAACATTATTGAAATATAACAGCTTAAATTTGTATGGATGAATATCTCTTATATTAGTAAAATGAAGAAAAACAGAATCCTTAAAGAACGCACAAAAAGACAAAATTGAAAAAAAATGTTACAGACTGAGCTTTAAAATTGTAATCCCTTTCACAGGTATTGGAATGTCAATACGCCAGTTTTTTTTTTTTTTTTTTTTCAAAATTTTATCCAGTCTGCTATGGCGTCCTTTTGTATATTTTATATTTTTGTGTAAATTAAATGCTGTTTAATGGTTTATATTTAGTTTAAATGATTTCCATGTTTTCTTTCAGTTTGTCAATCAAATGATGACATCATTATATTTTTTTTTCACATTCAAAAATAGCTAGACAACAGTTGCAATAACTATTTAGATAATAATTTGATAAGAAAAAAACATCTGAATACATACAATTATATATATGCATTAAACATTGTACAAATTTCCAAAACCGGGGAGTTAAATGAAACTTCACAGGATTGATATCTTATTGATTGACTTCTTATTGGCTAAGTTATGAACCCTTAATGGTCGATTTTTGAGATAAATAAACTTGTCAGAGCTTCATCTCCAAAAGCTCCGGGGTAATTTCAATGAAACTTCACAGGATTGTTTGTCACCATCTATTTGATATTTATGTATCAAGAATAATAAAATATTTACATCCTTAATTTATTAACCTTTTTTGTCAAGCTACCTTTTAGACATGTCAATATTGAGTTGTTGGTATTTATAAATGAAACTATGTGTCATATGCCCCTACTGCTGTGGGTTCGAGTCCCACCATGGACTATGTATTCTTCTTGTAAGGTTGCTATCCAACTTGCGTACAGAACGTTGTTGGCTCTACTTAGGTATTTGTTTGTGTCTGCAATAATTCTCGGAGGGCACTTGATGACTTACATTATAATAAAAGCTTGGAATTCGCCATATAACATCACATTGTTGGTGTGACGCAGAACTCAACACAAAAAAATGTCAGTCTTCCAACAGTATAGAGCCTGGTCAGACTTCAGGGATGTGCAAGCTGGCCTGGCTCTGTATTGGTAGCTAAGATTTATCACTCATTTTTATGAGATAACTATATCATGTCACTGTTTATATACTGTAAATATTAGGCATTATTTCACCAATATATATAACCATATGATATTGTTGTTTGTATACTGTAAATATTAGACATTATTTCACCTACGGATATAACTGTATTATATTGTTGTTTTTATACTGTAAATATTAAACATTATCACATACCTTTGCCGATTTTGCGACTCCGTAAAAATAGTACTGCACGGCCGTGCATATATTTTGATGTGACGTCATTCGTGCATATATTTTGATGTAACGTCATTTGCGTTATATAAGCATTGCGTTAAGAGGCGCTAAATGTTAGCATTTTACTATTGGCGCGTCAATGAAAAATGGTTCTTTATCACTTTAAACGGTCTTTATTCTGGTATGTGATAAATAGAATATTAAATTCGTGTACGTTCATTACTAAATTTATTGAACTTGTTGCATAAAATATTGTTATACTCGCCAAAGTCTCGCATAATATGATTTTATTCAACTCGTACAATAAATTCTGTACTAAAATTACTAATTCAATATCCTATATTTATGTACCAAGGTAGATAACCAAATCATGTCAATTTTTGTTTTAATGATGATGCTGTTAGAACTGAATTAAGTTAAGCAATTGGAATATGTTAACAACATATTCCATTGCTTAATAATTAATGTTCAGTGCTTATAAAGTATTGTTTTCAATAAATTTTTTGATAATAAAATTATGTAACAGATTCTTATGTTAGTTATAATTATGTATTTACACCAGTACTAGATAGTCCATGAAATTGAGTCAATAATGATTTTATTGTGCCCCCAGTTTAATTATCGCCTGCAGTACGTGCACCCAGTTATTCCGGGTTTAAGATTTACTGTGAGAAATTGTTATTTCATGATACCAGTACTAGATAGTCCAGGAAATTGAGTCAATAATGATTTTATTGTGCCCCCACTTTAATTATCGCCTGCAGTACGTGTATCCAGTTATTCTGGGTTTGAGATTTACTGGGAGAAATTGTTATTTCATGACACCAGTACTGGATAGTCCAGGAAATTGAGTCAACTATGATTTTATTTATTTTACAAAGCCAATTTCATTAGTTCAATCAAAAAGTTAATATGGTTTTGTTGATATAAAAGGCGATGTTTACTAGATACTTAAAGAAATTGATGACAACGACAACAATCTGCTTTCATGAAAGCTCGCCTCTTAGCTTTCATGTAAGCTTAATTAAGCTTAATTAATTAAATAATTTGCCCATTCTTAGACAGGAGAGGTCAGTGATCAAATGAGTCACCATACGATAGCCAATTGCATATTGCAGCTACTGTGTAGCAGGATACACACAAATTATTAACAGGGCAAAACGCATTTTTTATTTAAGGGCCATAACTCAGCCAAAATCATTCAACTGGAAAACCAATGTTATCTGCACAAGAACTTGAGCTACCACTACATCCTGTAAAGTTTCAATGAACTTGTAGGAGTATTAGCGGTATAAAAATCGAAATCATTAAATTTCAAAATAAACAAGAGCGATCAGTGATCACATGTGTCGCCTCATGATGGCCAATTTCATGTTGAGACAAGTTTTGTGACAGACGGACAGTGCACAACTAGACTTGGTACTGATTATTCCTGTAAAGTTTGGATGAAATTGCACCAGTAGTTTATGAGGAGTAGTCCGGACAAGTTTTGTGACGGACAGACAGACAGACGACGGAGAAGTGATCGCTATATGTCGCCACTACTCCGTAGAGGCGACACAAAAATCATTGAAACTTTAAAGTTTGAATGAAATTGCACCAGTAGTTTATGAGGGGTGGTCCGGACAAGCTTCTCTGTAACTTAACACAAAAACACCCTTTAGGTAATCTAAGGACCATAACTGGGCCAAAAATCATTCAACCGGAAAACTTGTGTTATATGCGCAAGTACGTGATGTACAGAACAACCTTTTCAAGTTTTATTGAACTTGCATAAGAGGCATAAAAGGAAAAGTCCAGACAATTTTTAAAACTTATAATAATTAAAGCGCCATAACTCTGACCGGAAAATGCCGATGATATGCATATTTAAGCTTGGTACTGATAATTCCTGTAAAGTTTGGATGAAATTGCATCAGTAGTCTTTGAGGAATAGTCCGGGCAAGTTTTTTGAAAAAAGTCCGGACAAGTTCTTTGAGGAATAGACCGGACAAGTGTTTTGAGGAATTGTCCATACAAGTTTTATGATTGATGGAAAGACGGAGAAGTGATTCCTATGTGTCGCCAATACTCTGTAGAGGCGACATAAAATACCAAAGTCAGAATCAATATTTCCATTTAATATAGGCATATTTGAACATTGATGGAAAAATTACCTAGTGCACATGTTTGTTTGGCTCGGAAGTGAACATAGGATAATTATTTGTTGTTTTTGCATGTAAGATCGAAATATATATCACTGAGTGGACACCATATGCAATATTTTCAAAAGTGGAGTAGCCATGAGTGAAACAGCAATAGCTGGTGTTCACAAGTGAAATATATATATGAAAGTTTTATTCTGCGACTTGAAAACACAACTACAAACACAAGATATAAAACAATAGTGTATATATTGTACTTTAACATACAATATTTGGTATAGAATATTATTGGTCATGTAAAACAATATTTTAAACTCAAACTCTTCAGATAACACATCCATAAATCAAAATTTTCTACATTTAATCAAAAAACAATCTATACAAATTAACAGGATATGCTCCACACAATTATCTGTCTTTTAAGCTTGGTTTTTTAAGATACATTAGGCTTTAAAGGGACTCCATTGTTTGACATGACTGGAAATATTTTTTTCAAGATTTATGTTCCATTTGATTCAAGTTCATAATAATTTCAAATTATTTGCACTTTCCAGAATGATTTTCTGTAATGTAAAAAATGATCCAAAATTGAAGTGTTGCAGTGCTTTTCATTCAAAGTGGGTTAAAATAGCACAAAAAATTTATTTCTAATTCATTCCGAGTATATTTTTTCTTTAAATATTTTGCACATATTTTTGTTTCAAATTTGTGCCCCTGTTGATCTATATAAGAGATTCAAATTTTATGTTTTTATATTGATATATTTTTTTAATATCCAGTTCATTTTTATTAGTTGAGATGTTGTTTAAAGAAAGTATTGCCAGATCTATCTCCAATGCCATTTATCACAGGACAGATCTATCTCCAATGTCATATATCACAGGACAGATCTATCTCCAATGTCATATATCACTAGAGAAATCTATCTCCAATGACATTTATCACAGGACAGATCTATCTCCAATGTCATATATCACAGGACAGATCTATCTCCAATGTCTTATATCACTGGACAGATCTATCTACAATGTCTTATAGCACTGGACAGATCTATCTCCAATGTCATTTATCACTGGACAGATCTATCTCCAATGTCATATATCACTAGACAGATCTATCTCCAATGTCATATATCATCGGCCAGATCTATCTCCAATGTCATATATCACTGGACAGATCTATCTCCAATGTCTTATACCACTGGACAGATCTATCTCCAATGTCATATATCACTGGACAGATCTATCTTCATTGTCTTATAGCACTAGACAGATCTATCTCCAATGCCATTTATCACTGAACAGATCTATCTGC